AGTCCTTATGAGGCCAGCCCTTAAGGGCTTGAGCCCTAAAGTTTGGTTTTTCATTTTTAATCTCATTTTTCAAGTATGGCCCTTATATGAAGGGCTTAGGATTTGGCTCGGAAGCCCTTTTTAAAAATTAAAATAAAATTATAAATTATAAATTAATTAAAATATTTTGAAATTAAAAAATCAAAATCTTCATAATTTTTTAGAAATTAGACAACACATATTTAAAAGTCTAATAATAAAATTAAAATTTTGGTTAAAACAATAGTTCATTTTTTTATAAATATACAAATATAATAATTATAAAAAATAAAAAAAATGTATACTATACATTGATGTTTATTAAATTATATTAAATTAATTTTAAAATAAATTAAAATTAATAATAATATTATGCGTGTAAGATTAGGTAAGCAGATTATTAGTTTTAAACACGTGTTCCACCAGACAAAATAACAATAATAATAATATAATAGGGTTTAAAGGGCTAACCGAGCCCGAGCTTTTTTTTAAGAGCTTATCAAAACTAAGCCCTCAAGCTCAATTACTTTTAAAAAAATTATTTTGAAAATTTGAATCTTTATTTAAACAAGACCTCCAAGCCCGGCACTTTAAGCATAGCCCTTATTCTCTTGACTCTAGGTTTCAGTCAAGTAACTCATTGTATTATTTATTTATTACTCCTTTTGTTATAAATGTAAGACATTTTTAACCGAATCTCACCCCTCAATAAAGTAGTTACTTAATTTTAAAATAACCTTTTTTTTTTATTTATTTTTATTAAATATTTTATAATAAATATAAAGTCACTCTTAATAAAGGTATTTGAAAAAATAATAATTATATTTTAAAAGATTAAAAATATCTTATATTTTTTAATATCTGATTTTCATATATTTTTAAATAGAGATAATTATTAATTGCATGCACGTGCCTTTGCCTGTGCGTAGAATGACAGAAGCACTGTATAGATTACAAGGTGACCTTGTTAGGGGTTCTATCATCTATGTATGACCTTGCGGACTATTGGCAAATCACATAGGTAAGAATTTTAATAGACCACTAAAAATGTCAGGTTCTTTTAGCTTTTATGCATACTGTCTAAAAGTGATCGACCTGAGGCTATAATTGCCCGCGACTGGCCACACAGTGAAAGTAACCTAACTGCATATATAAACAGTGCTTGGAGATGTGGCTGATGCAGACTTGCAGAGTGGATGGGAGCAAGTTCTAAATTTAATAATATCTCACGTGAAAGGAGATATCATGAGACTTTGACAATAAAAAAGAATTGAGCAGCCTGAAAGATATTTTTATAATCAAATAAGCTGCCTGAGATAATTTTTTAAATTCATAGAAATCCTTACAATCATGAAGCTATCATTTCAAACATGTCCTTCCTTCCAGTCCTGCCTGGCGCTTCATCAAGAACAGTGCCCAATGGAGCTGCTTCGAGAAATTGTGTGTGTGCAAGAATGTTCGTTATACAGTTATTAAAAAAAAAAAAAAAATCCTCAACTCCTTTGCTGCTCTACCATTACACCAAGCAGCTTTAATTCTTGTTAATTTTTGAAACTTACACGTATTTATATTTAAGTATTATACAAATATTTGTTATTTTCTTTATTTTCTATATTCATATTCTAGTATTGATTATTTATCATATCAGTTTTATTAATCTCAACATTTTATCGTTTCATGATTTAATACAATTTAATATTTATTATTTTTGAAATATTAAATAATAACCGGCGTTGACACCATATACAGGGATTCATTTGATTATTTCATTTATAACACAACACAGTTTAGGAAAATAAAATGAATAGATTAGAAAAAGTATAAATCAATTCCCTATGTAGCTGTACAGGTGAACGTATTTTTTTGGGGAAAAAAGTCATAATTAAAAAAAAAAAAATAGAATTACTTTTTTTCTACTTGTAAACATGACATATTGATATTGGTTATTGGTTAAAAGATTTAAAGATAAACCGTCTAAAACATAAAAAAGTAATGATTCCACAGGCCACAGCAGTGTGCTTTAATTTGTATGGCCGTATTATTGTGTCCCTACAGCTTTCCTGCTCACATGGCACTGACTTATGTTGCAAATATCAGCATAAAAAAGAGGAGATGAAGATGGTATTTGAGACCAAAAATTGCCAAATGAGAGTAGATAATAGGAATATATAAAGAGAACGCAGTAGTTGCATGAATGAAGTATTAGGTGAGATGTCTTTGAATGCCTGAAAGGTGTGTGCAGTGCTGCAGAAGCCTGATAGAAGGGCAAGCAAAGGGGAAGAGTTAATTCATGGAGAGATCAGTTAATGCCCCCAGCAATATCAATAAATTTCAAAGGGGAGACCCCTTCTGGTGACACGCCACAAAAATATGTGAAAACCACACTTCAATTATAAACGAGGCACTTATTTTCAAGACTGGCAGAGTTGGTGAACTGTAATGGCTTCAAAACAACATCATTTAATTTCAACGAGCCATCTTCACGCCGTACATTGCTCTTCGTTAACATGCATTAATAATCCATACTCGTATCCAATGTTCTCACATACCTACACACACACTCCCTGTATGTATACGAATGTGGATACAGTATGTTTATTTTAGGGTACAAGGAATATGCAGATCCACGTTGTGGGGTTTAGTTCGCATTAAAAAGCATACGCATAATGGGAATTCAGGTGCCAGCTCCGTAGCTGTGGGAATGAGAATTCATTCATAGACAATAGAAGGGGAATTATGGTGTTGGAATAATGTTGTCATTTTCCACTGTGTTTCTCTGTTTGGCCACGCTGGACTCTTGTCTTTTCCCTCATCAGTTTGTTTTGCCTCTTGCTCTTCTCTTGCTTGTGGTTGGTGGAATTGGGAGACTCAGGAGGACTCACCCTCGCAAAAGAAGAAGAAGAAGAAGAAGGAACAATTCGAGAATGATGATACGCCTTTTTCCCTTAAAGTACTATATCATCAAAATAGCTTGTGAAGGCTTTAAGTAGTTATCAGTGTTAATCATGGAGGGAAATGATTATGTGGAAGCCTTTTGGCATATGGCAATTATTGTCAGCAGTTGTTATATTCATCGTGTAATTAGGTGAGGTTGACATGGTCAAATCAGAATTTGAAGAGAATATAGGAAGAGAATTCTGGAAGAATGAAGGTCTAGTGACGAAAGAGTAGTGGAGATGCAAGCGGTGAGATATTGGTATCTGAAAATGGAAAAAGAAAGGGGCATAAAGTGGAGAACGGAGATAGGGAAAGAGGAAAATAATGTGGGGGCGAATTAGTAATTGACACGTTAGTTAAGGGGGAATAAGAGGAGGGCAGGAGCAGCGAGCGGCAAAGGAAAGAGTGGGAAAAAGCTCGGGATTATGTTTGACCTACTCTATTTTTTTCCCCCAGCCTGAAAATGGAGCCCATGCATCAGCAATTACAAATTGATCAACCAATAAAAGTTGGTTTGAGTGGTCCGTTTAAGTGAGGTCTTGAATTGGAGTTTTGTGCATGAAGAAAACCTTTTCTGAAAGACTCATCCACTATAGCCACATGCGCAATCTGGGTCAGACCCGGATTAATCAGGTTGAAGCTTTAGATATTGGGTTGGGCAACAAAAAAATTGCAAATTGAGCAAGAACTCAGCAAAATTGTAACACAAACTAAAACTGGAGACGTGAGTGAGAAAGGGCACGTGTGTGGGTGAGAGGGACGGAGAAGATGATTAGGAGCATGTGAATTAAGAGACAGGCTTTCAAATAGAGGTGAGCACAATAATATTAATAATGGGGGGATAGATTCCTAGACTGTGAATTGAAGTGCGCTGGCGAGAGAAGGCGCGCCCTTCTAATAATGGTTTGCCTAATTTGTAGCATATGGCCTAATCTTGCTTCAGACACAATCATAATCATTCACTTTGCAAGCCCCATTTTCGTTTTCGTGGAGTGATCGTGAAGCAATTTATCTCCTGCGTGCCCCTTTCCCTCACTTTCTCAAACATTTTCTGCCGCCATAGTCTATTCATTGCTTTATTTCGTAAATTCCTCAAAAAACATTAATCCGCGCACATTCTATGTGTGCGCAATATTTATTAATGGGAAAATTTCAAAAAATAAGGGGAAGGAAAAAAAAAACAGGGAAAATAGTAATGGGAGGGGAGGATACGGGAAATCTTGAATTGTGTCAATATCAAGCTTCCTGTTTTGTCTTGCACGCAAACTGCATCCAATCCGAGCGTGGTTTATTTTTCTCAAATGGAGTAAAGTATTGCACGAGCACTTGATCTTTGTCATGGGACGAAAGATTTCAAGTATATTTGGCTAGCGAGCAGTACCCATCGCTGGGCGGCCGGATCAAGTCTACACGTTCAGGAAGCAAAATTAAGAATGCGGGATGCATGATTCGTGCCCAAATTTCAATTTGACTTTTCAACAATATTTTGTTCCTTTTGGCGTGAATCATTTTTGGGGCTGACTCCACCCAGTTCAAAAACGCGAAAACGCTCCTTCCCATTCACAAATGAATTTCGTAATAAATGAAAAGGGGGAATTTTTGGAGGTAGGAATGAGACGGAGTGGGGGTACGAAGGCCCGAGAGTCCCGACAATTAAGTGAGTCTCTCATGTTGTTCGCCTTTTCACGTCCACGCACACCTTCCTTTATACGGCTGCTTTGCGGCCACCACTCTCATCAATGCCCCAAAAAAGCAGCCCCACACGCCTCTGCCTCAACGCTCACACCTCCCGCCTACCACCGCAATCACCGCCCCGTCCACCCCCTTCAACCACCCCGCCCTGTTTTTTTATTTATTTATTATTTATTCAAAAATAATATTAATGATTAATCCAAATCAAAGTATCTGCTCTTGGTTGTGAGTTGGGACCTGGAATTTTGCTCAGAACCACTTCATACATTTTTGGATTAATAGTTGGGTACAATATGTTACACTCTCGTCAACACTGGCTAGTTATTAAGCAACCCAAGTGTAAAATGCAAACCTTAAACAAAACTTCACTGCTGTTTATCACGGAGATTTTAGAGACAAATAAATATAATAAGAAATACTCATATGTATGTCTGCCACCGGAGCAAAATGTGGCAAGGGACGGCGGCAAAACGCAAAGCCAACGCTCCACTCAGTCAATGACTGACAGTCTCAGAGCACCACCAGAGGATCCGAACCCGACAATATGTCTTGAAAGAAATCGTCCATTTGGCATAACGTCGATGGCAAGAATGATTTCTCCAAATCCAAATCCAACTCTGGTCCCCCCACTATCATGGTGTCCGCCTTGAAATCTTCCTCTGCTATCATTGCCGTCGTCTCCCCTAGAAACGGTGGAGCTTCTTCTAACAGCAATGAGTATTCCGGTTCTGGCGTTGAGAAATCGAACACCTGCTCCCAATCTGGCATATCGAAGCCGAAGTAATCCTCCTTCGCCATGTCGAACCCGAAATAATCCTCCTTCTCATCCGACAAGCTCGATTCGCCTTCACACTCCCGGGATACGTCTTCACCTTCAGCCGCCTCCGCCTCGCTTTCTTTCTCCCGTTCGCTTGCCCCCTGGGCCTCGGTCTCTTCGCTGCAATTGCTTCTGAATTGCAGCACTGACGTGGGAGATGGTAGACGGTGTGATTCGTCGCCGGAATCGTAGCCGGAGCCGGACGCTTCTGACTTCACCACCACATTCATTTCCGTCTTCACCGCCACCTCTGCTTCGTCGGGCTTTTCCCTCGGCGGAGGGGTCACGAAGTTTGTCAACGCGTCCGGTCCACGAATCTTAATCGCGGCATTGTCATAAACCATAGCCGCTTCCTCCGCAGTGTCGAAGGTTCCCAACCACACGCGTACGCGACGCGCGGGATCTCGAATCTCTGCCGCCCATTTCCCCCAAGGTCTCTGTCGTACTCCTCGGAACTTCCTTCCGTTATTTGTAGAAGAAACCTTCACCGGCCGCCGGCAAGCAGAAGCTTCTCCGGCGGGTCTCTTTCGCGGATTAGGGGCAACCGCGCTCTTGCAGCTAGCTTCGATGTTAACCTGGTTCACATAACGCTTCACTCTCTGACGGCCAAAGAAGTACCCTCCTTCCTCATCGCTGGAGGAGTCAGTGGCGTCCGGATCGGTTACAGATATCCGTACCACTCTGGGCTCTATGAGAGTGTGAGCGTCAGAGGCTTTGCTGGCCGCCAACGGCCTGGTGTACTTCTTGGTAACACTTTGGTGGACTGTGTATTTGCATAGGATACTCTGTTCCATGATTTCTACCCCAAACAGAGCGTATTCTGGGCAGAACAAATAGGCCAGGCCTTTGGAATAAAAGAGAACCGTGAAGAAGAAGACTGAGACTTTAAGAGGGGCACTCCAAAGGTCTTTTGTTGATAAATCTGCCAAAAAGACATCCAAGGGTGGGAGGGAATGGGAGGAAGAAAAGCAATAATGACAGTATTGATGAAATGGGAGGGGGTCACAGAGGAAACGGAAATGGGAGAGAGAGAGACGGGAATAAAGAGAAAAGAGGAGCTTTTAACATCATGGGGGAGGGATAGAAACCGGTGGATAAGTGAAAAATCTGAGAGAGAGCAATAGGGCTTAAAGGAGAAGCCGAAGGAGAATTATTGGGATGGATTCCGATAATCTTGAGCGATTCTCGGTGACACTTTCCTTGAAGTTTCTAAAGCGAACACTGTTTGGCGCCCTCGAAAGAGGAGCATAGGGATTCAAATCGAAGAGATCAGATGGAGATTCTGGGGTCCTGCACACTCTGTGGCTGTGGGAACGGAGAACAAAGCTAAGCAGTGAGAGCGTTGGTTGAATGGGTGAGAGAGCTGAAGCCTGAAATGGAGAACCAGGAACCAGCAGTTTAGTTGTTGAGGGGGCCGAAACACCGAAATCGCTGTTTTATAGGACCAAACAGCCGAAATGGGAATGCTCGCAACATCAGACTATATATTTTTTTTTTTTCAAAATAAAAAACATTAAATTAAATGCTAACGAATCTTTCAGATTTTTTTTACAGGGTTGGATAACAAACTTGTATCAGATCACTTTCTCCAAACGCGCCCGATATTTTTAATTTTTTGTTAAACAATGTTGCCCTTTATCTTACAAAAAGATTGCAATGTCACCTTACGGTTAAATTCCATCAACATTGACAGTTAATTTGACTACTTTGGCTAGCAAACACACGTGAGGCAAATTGAGTTGGGGAGAGGGGGAGGGAGAAGAGGCTACATGTGAAATGCTTGAAGTTAGAGAAAGGAAGATGGACTAATAAATGGCTTAATGCTCGGTATTGTTGCTATTTCAAAGGGAAAATCGATGGGGAAGAGCATTACCTTCTGCTCCAAACAAAAATCTTACCTGCTTATTATATTGAAATCTTGCCATTATATCGATATAATGGTTATTTGAAAGAATTTCAAGTGTTAATTTCATATTAATAGAACACGCTCATAATTGTAGGATTTCATATTTCAATGACTCGTCCATCATTCCAGTGTGTGTGGTTCATACCTTATGACTTGTTGTTCATTTTTCTATCTCACTTGTTCATTACAACACTGGCTTGAAAAAATTTTAATTGTTGGTTTCATATTAGTAGAACATGCTCATACTGGTAGGGTTTCATATTTGAATGACCTATTTGTCACCCTAATGTGTGTGGTTCATTATCTCATGGACTATTGTTCATTTTCACACATCACTTATTCATCATAACATTGACTTGAAAGAATTACAAGTGTTGGTTTCATATTTGAATAACTCGTTCATGACCCTACTGTGTGTGATTCATTATCTTATAGAATGTCATTCATTTTCCTACATCACTTATTTGTTATAATGCTAACTTGAAAGAATTTAAAGTATTGGTTTTATATCGATAGAACATGCTCTTACTGATAGGGTTCATGTTTGAATGACTTATTTATCATCCTAATATATGTGGTTCAGTACCCTATGATATGTTGTTCATTTTCCTGCCTCACTTGTTTGTTACTATACTAATTTGAAAGATTTTCAAATATTGGTTTCATATCAATAGAACATGCTCGTGACAATAGGGTTTCATATTTGAATGTCCTGCCTGTGGATTGTTGTTCATTTTATCACCTCACTTGTTCATTACAACACTAACTTGAAAGAATTACAAATGTTGGTTTCATGTTTGAAGGACTTGTTTGCGACCCTACTATATGTAATTCATTATCCTACATAATGTTATTCATTTTTTCACCTCACTTGTTCATTGCAACATTGAAACAATTTCAAGTGTTGGTTTCAAGTCGATAGAACATGCTTATATCGATAGGGTTTCATGTCTGAATGACTTGTTTGTCACCCTAGTGTGTGTGGTTTATTACTTTGTGGATTTATATTCATTTTTCCACCTCATTTGTTCATATTGATAGAACATGCTCATGCTAGTATAACAAATTGATACGGAGCATAAGTGACTCATATCGAAATAAGTTCCAAATATTGGTATGATTGAGGAAGGTGTGGACGTTGGGAGGCTACTGTGGCATGAAAATTCACTAGGATTTAAGCATGACTTACCGATATCATATGCATATATCGGGTCAATAGGTACGTTTTTTCATATCTCATCTTTAAATTTCCATCATTCATTTTAAATTCCAAGCAACGATTTCTCAAATGTCATCACTTTCATATACCATTCATTTTTATCCTTATTATGAAACCCTATTGATACCACATCCATTCTCTCCCAACTCAATTATCCTCTCTTGATCACCAAAATCAAATTCCTCCCAGGACTCGGCCAGGGAGACTCTTGGGTAAGAACTTTAGTGACAAAGATATGATTAATTTTCAAATGTCCTAATTCAAGTTATGCAAAGAAGTTTGGGAAGCTTCATTATGTGTGTATTTTGTTTTCTGCGTGTTTGCGTTGTAAGTTTAAATAATTGACTATTTTTCCTTTTCCTTTCAATAAGAGGAAATATTATCATTTTTCTGTGAAATTTAAGATCAAATTAATATGCCAAATTTAAAGTGACATTTCAAAAATTTAGAAGGTTTTTTTTTTAGTGAGTTTGATTCAAGAGTTTTTAGTGAAATTTTTACTAAAAAAAATTTAAAGGTAAATTTGACTTAGTGCCTGTTTGGATAGGCGCCAGAATTGATTATCCAAGACAAAATTATGGTTTCAATAAAAATCACCCGAACAATCCCTAACTCTTTTTTCAGTTCTCACGCTTCTTTTTCCAAAGGTGTGAAAGATGAACCGGTGATGCAGCACAGCAACATGGTGCGTCCCGCCGCATCCTTAGGATTTTGACACGTTGCCGGAGTGGGACCCGCAGAGAAGACCTGGACCTATGGAGAAGCATCAACGGTGCTGAGTAATCATATCTCGGACAATGCGATGCCAGTCACGTGAGGCCTAAGATACCCGGTCACTTAATGTTGATCGATCAAATTGTTTTGACCATCCCAGAGCATCTTTGATTCCAATTTACCTTTTCCCCTGATTTATGCACCAAATTTGCCGACTAACGCGAGTGATTAAGGCGGGACAGTAAAGGGCAATTCAGTAATAATGTCAAATTCCGGAAACACTTCATGCTGTGCTGGCCAGCGGCCCTATGGGGGGGCCAATGAGTTTTTTCCCTCTAGCGGTTAAAGTTTAAAAAAGCCAAAAAGGAGCTTCTATTTTAAACTTGCATCCTGTGGTTCCGCTTCATAACAGATTTTTTATAATATTTACTTTTTACAGCTAAGAACTAACGTGGCGGGCAACCTAGAATTCGCCGCCATATACAATTCGATTCTGCACGTCTCTGGGGTTTTTTCCCCGTTCACCGTTACAGGAATCGAGGAATGCCCGATTCTACGCGCGGAAGGGACCCGTGTTACGCACTCTCCAGTGTGGCCATGATAGAAACAGGACGCTCGGAGTGAAATTGCACTTAGTATCCATTATTGTGGAAGTAAATTGGGCTTTGCGTATGCCTAAAGTAAATGGGGGGATACAGCCTAAACAAAAAAATAAAGAGGGAGGAACGGCTTTGACCCACTTAAGTAACGTTTGAATTTAATTTATATTTTTTTCCAAAAAAAAATAATTTAGCCAAGTAACGCTTTGCGATAAAAAATCGTTGCGATTCAATATTTTATTAGCTGGATTTTTTTCCTCTAAACATTTTGCTTTACATACGGGAATATTGAGCATTTGCTCAGCTTAATAATATACAAGCATTAAGTAAGTAGCAGAGGGACTGTTTGTTTGTTTGTTTTTTTTTTTTGGTCATTAATTCGACGAAAAATCAAAAGGAAACCTTTTAACTTGAAGGCGAGCGAAAGGTTTCTTATAAGTCAAGTAGTTGAAGTTTTACACAGTGATTGCGTTGAAAGAATTGGAGTTAAATGCAATAGAGTTGGCAGATTTGAGACCGGCATTTATATGTGACATTCAATTGCTTATGAAAATTATTGCCGCAACTTTCTTTTTTTTTTTTTTTGGGTTCCGGATTCTAATAAAGAGAAAAGAACAATGCGCTTTAGAAGCCACGTATTTTTGCTGGGCACATGAAAGAGAAAAAGGGAGGGAAGCTTTTTAGGGGAGCGCGTGTGCGAGAGTAATAAAGAAAGAATGCGGAGTATGGCGTGCTTCAGCTGAGGCGATACGTTGCCGATCGCAGAGGCGCACACATCGCTCATGCCATGACCGAGGTTCCACAGCGGCATGTGGGCCCCACATCCATCCGACGTACGGCAGCTTTATTGACCCCACCCTCCTCCTGCTTTCATGTAACCAACCACCGTTACTTATTTCATGCATCCAATTTTCCATCCGCCAGATATTAATCACGTTTTGAGAATTTAAAGATCTACGGTGAATCATTTCGTGAGCGTCCGTTTCCTTCAGGAAACAAATTACTTTTATCCCTTACTACTCCCCACTTCAGTTCCATTAATGAGGATGGACCGCTCAGAATGATAGGCTGGACGCCATCGATTATTGACCCTTAATTCGATTAAAAAGCTTCCATTATGCAGAACTAATTAATAAAAGGCGCATGTCCTATTTCCTTTCTAATTATTTAAATTTTTTAAAAAATTTCCTTCCTGATATTTGTTGCCGTTTTCTGTAAATACAATGACTTAAAAATATACTTGCAACATACAAAGCCAACGAGTTCATGTTTATTTCCTAATACTGTTCATTTATAACATAAATATTTTTATTTCATTATCTGTCATCTGGTCTCAGTTTTAATCTATGCCTATTAATTTATTTTATTTATTTATTTATTCCGTGCTTAATAATACCGGTCAAGGTACCGTACGCAACCGCGTTAACCTTAATTACTAGCGACTCGAGTGCCAAGCAAGAGCTCCAACAAGTAGGGAGATGCTGCTAATTGCGCTGTACAGATTCGGTCACTCCTTATCCTGTTTGCATAAACTGAAAATATTTATTTATTATCATATAAAAATACAAAATGTAATTATGTCCAACGATATTTTTGCTGCCCACTTTCATAAAGACAAGCATCCCTCACTGTGGAAATATTGACTCTTATTCTGTCAATTTTAATAATTAAAAATACTTTGTTTGGAATAATATACGGGCCAGAACCGGCCCTGAGAAAACGTCGCACGCACCCAGAACACTAAAACATTACATAAAACAAAGAGGCCGACCCCTTTGGTTTTATCTCTGCATTTTTAAGAAATAACAAAAAATAAACAAATTGGAAGAAGCCGCAAGTGGAAGGAGTGATCGTGCCCATGGCTTGGCACTCCGATGTCCAGGTATGACCGGCGTCGCTATGTGGCGAGCAATGATTGGTGGTTGGGCTTTCTTATTCAGAATTTAGTAATATTTTTTGGAAAGAAACCAGACGGAGAGTGAATAAAATCGCGCAT